TGGGCGACCTCCAGCCGCACCTGAGAATGGAACTCGTACCTGTCTCGGGTCCAGGGCAAAGGACCAAAGGCAACAGCTCTGGGATGAACAGGGCGGGCCTCTCAGAGGCGGTGGCTATGATCAGATGGTGATGGGTGTTCGAGACCCACTGGATAAAGTCCAGACAGGAGGCATGTCATCTGACGCCTCTCCCCGCGTCCCCCGGCCCGGGCCTTCCTTGCCTCCGCTCTGCAGCTTCCATGGTGCAGCCACTAGCAGCCTTCTTGCTCCCCCTGCCTTCTTCTCTCCTGCTTCGGCTGTTGTGCATTGGCTCCGTCCTCCACCGGCCTGGCTCTCCTGGGGCGGAGGTTGCTAAGAAGAGGCCTGAGCAGCACCTGCCTGTGTTAGAATCCAGGCAGGATGCCTTCCACCGCCAGCAGGGGGGCTCAGGCTGTCCCTGCTGCCCGGGGTTCTGTCCCCCTCTCTGTCCCTCCGGCCTCTGGCCTGGGATGGCTGGGCCACTGTTGGGGCCGGGAGGAGGGTTGGGGAGCCCAGGTGGGGCTCACTGGGCGAAGCCAGAGAAACAGCCTCTGGAATTAGATCCCAGGAACTGAAAGTGACCCCTGGTGGCTGACCACCCACGTGGGCCACACCGGTGCCCAGACACCCTTTTGCTGTTTCATCTACTCCTCAGTGAGGTGGGCATGCACCGTTGTTCCCATTTCACAGAACAGGGAGCCAAGGCTGCCCAGTTAGGAAGTGATGTGGACTGAGCTTCCCCTGAGGGTGCCTGACCCTTCCTCCTAACCCAGTGAGTCCCCGTCTCCCTCCCATCCTCACCCAATGTTCTCAGGGCCACCTGGGCCCCTCCAGCCCCTTTAAATCTTCTGGACTGGCCCCTCTGAACTTCTCGGCATCTTTCCAGAACACATCCTGTCCTTCCTTGTCTCCAGGACTCCTACAGTCTGCTGCCTCTCTGCCCCCTGGGCTTACGAACTATTCATACCAGTGTCTCTGGACCCTTCTTCGTCTCTCCTCCTCTCCCCGCTCTGTGTTGGACCCTGCCTGCCTCGATTCCCCAGCAGCAATGGCGCCTCCTGGGCACTCCCTCAGGTTTCTCACTTCCTCCCATCCAGACCTGTGTCCCACTTTCTGCCAATGTATGTACCTGCCACTCGTGGCTCCGGGAGAGCCAGTCCTGGAACCCCGTGCCTTTTGAGCGCCCTGGGTGAGAAGGTTGGCAAGGGAGCAGACACATCCAGAAAGGCCCCTGCGGAAGGAGGGGAGGCATGGGGAAGGAGGAGCGTGCTCCGGGAGCGGAGGAGGCCCAGCGTGGCGGACAGAGGCATTGGCCAGAGGAAGAAAGAACTGGAAACCTTGATGTTCGTCCACCATGTCCAAGTGGAGACTGGTTCCAGGGGGCCCAGCGATTTGAAGCTGGAATGGAGAAGGCTGTGATTGAGGGCTGTTGGAGCAGGTGTTAACCGGAGAGGGTAAAGGTCAGAGGCCCGGAGGAAGCCCACAAGCATACAGTCGGCACTCAGCCCTGGCGACATGGGGACGGGGCCCCGGGCAGGGGCTCATGGCTCCTGTCACTCCTGAACAACTCCATAGTCAGTGTGGGGTAAGCCCTGCTTGACAGGTGAGAAAACGGAGACCAGAGAGGAACCAGAGGAACCGCAGGGGAGGGCAGCAGGACCCGCAGCGCTGGGCCCCCAGGGACCGGGGCTGAGCACTTCCTGGAGCTGCTCTGGGCCACTTGGAGGCTGGTCAGGCGGTCTGTCACTCCCCCTTCCTACCCCCACAAAAATGTGGTTTCACTGGCAAGAGGAGGAAATAAAAGTCTTTCTGTTTGGTTTGTGGGAGTGTGACCTCCAACCTGCCAGAGGCTGGGGGAGAGATTAGCAGACACTTCCCATCAGCGTCTGACTCCCCACCCCACCTGGAGGTGTAAGAAATCACAACACGCAGGGGGGGCGCTGGGGAGTGAGTGGTGCAGGAGTGTTCTCGCTCCCCGGACTTGTCACTCTAGCTTCCAAAGTGTGTCCCCTCCTCCTATGTGCCTGGCTACAGTTTGCGTGAGGTCATTATCGAGATGGAGTCAGCAGCTCACCAGGCTGGAAGAAACCTTGGACTTTTTCCTGGCGGTCTTCGGGCCTCACTCTGGCTCGACTCACTCAGCTAAAGGCCAGTCCACGAAGCACCTTACTCACTTCTCAAGCCCCAGAGTCTATTTGACTAGTGGGGTTAGGTTACCGTCCTTATCTGCGTGAAAACCTTCGGGCAGAGTTCTCCTGGCCCCATATGACTGCACGGAAAGGAGGGCAAAAGGCAGTGATTGCCATTTGTCATCCATGGAACTTTCCAGAATTAACCTGGGAAGGCAGGGCCTTGCGACACGGGCTGGCCCAGTGACCCTTGGCTCTGGAACTCTTGCTAGTGCTCTCCAGGCATGGATCCAAAAGCACCCAGGACCTTGGAGCTGGGTCTGGCCCTGCGACCTGTGTGGCCTCAGGCAGGCTGATTCATTCATTGAAACAAAATTTCTGAGCATTTGCTCACCTCTCTTTCAGCAAGGCGTCCCCGCCCCTGAGTAGGGGACCTCCCCATGTTTATCCCCTGCAGGCTGTTTCCAGCTAGTGTTGGCGTGGTTCCCAGGACTCACAGGAAAGGGTGTCAGCTGTCATCTTGAGTGACCTTGGTTCTGCCCAATGTCTTGGTCTCCCAGAACCAGGACACTGTCTCTCAGGCCCCATCAGCATCTTTGCCATCATTTAAAGGCAGTCCTTCCAAAGCTCTGAGGGCCTGCTCTGGCCACAACCTCCTCTCCTCCCACTTGCTTGTCTGTTCTCTGACCACAGGTGCATCTCCAGGCCTCCGGTGACTGTACTGTCCCTGGCTAGGGGCCCACTCAGGCCATGGACTCTTCTTCTCTTCCTTAACTGGTACACTCTCTGGGACTCTTCATTCAAGCGCTCTCCTGCCCCAACACCCTGAGCCCGTGTGCCCCCCCCCCCTCCCCACCGCGCCCACCAGGGTGAGAGTCTCACACCAGGGCTGAGAAGTGCCGTGCTCCTCTGCCTTGGCTCCAGGGGTGTCTAGAACACAGTCCAGTACCTAGAAAGTAATTGGTAAAGGTTTCTGTAATGAATTATGCTGCGTTTGAAGAGTTGCTTTTCCTTTCTCAACTTTGGATCTCCTTCTTGCTCCTGAAGCTCTGGGGGACCTCGCCTCCTGTTTACAGACAAAACAGAAACTTTCATTGCTGGAACTGGTCCCCCTACAGCTCCGCCTCTTTCCTCTTGTTACCAAGGAAGACCGACCCATACTAAGGCCAGCCCGCCTCCCCCAGACTGTGAATAACTCCCCCACCTTCCCTTTTGTGAATTCATCCCCTGTGGAAGTTTCTCATCTCACCGTGCTTGTCCCTCATTAACCACACAAACCCCCACCTTAAGGCCACCTCCCCTCCCAGCTGCTTCTGCTCTCCCCAGCAGGCTCCTCCTGGAAGCCCCTGCTGCCCTCTTCCAGGTCCTGGTGGGGGGAGGGGCCAGGCGCTCCGTCTGGCCCTCTGCCCTAGGTCACAGTCACCTGCTCCCAGGGCTTTAATTACAACTCTTGCCTCCCCCGCACCCCCCCCCCCCCCCCCCCCCAATACAAACCAGGTGTTCCAACAAGTATTAAAGAAATGCAGCCTTACTCTAGGTCACTTGGGATCGCGCCGGTCAGGGTCTCAGACTGGCCAGCCACGTGCACATCCCCTGCCAGCTCTCTGGTGTGTGAGCGGCCCCACAGTGGAGCAGACTCGGTTGCGGGGAGGGGTACCCCCAAAAGAGGGAAGTCTTGATCGACTGAACTTAGCAGAAAAACTCACACATCTGACAAGGAGAAAACAGGATCTGGGAACAGACAGATTTGCTTTCAAAGACCGTGACCCAAGTCATCACAGGAGGCTGCAGGCCATCTTCGGTCCCCCAGATCGGAAGCTTTGCAACAGTTTCCATGAACAGACCTGATGCCCTGGGAGGTGCAGTAACGGGGGGCAGGGGCGGCCCTGGCGGGAGGCCCCGTTCCCAACCCTGCCCATCCACACGCCCTGCCCCTTCCGAAGGACTCAAAATCGCTTTTCCTCCGGGCCTTCCCACTAGTGAATGCAAGCAGTGCCCACGCTCTTGACCTCGGGGAGGGAGACGCTGGAGACTGCGTCACCCTCGCAGGCCAGGGCCTTGCTTACTGGAACCCTGGGGTTACCAAAGCGCCTCTGGGCTTGGAAGCAAGCATGACTGGGTGTGCGCCAGTGTCAGAGCTGGCACTCAAGGGACGACACACAGGGCTCTGGGCAGCACGCTGCAAACTAGCTGTCACCGGGTAGTGGGTGGGAATGAAGCCTGCTGAAGCGGCAGTTTCAACGGGGACAGCAGCGCTCTCGGGTCTACGCTGCGTCACCCACCCTGCCTGCCTCGGGCATCCACGGGGACTTCACCCACCCTGCCTGTCTCGGGCATCCACGGGGACTTCACCCACCCTGCCTGCCTCGGGCATCCACGGGGACTTCACGGTGCTGCAGAGAGGCTTTTGGGGGGTGCTGGCAGCTCGCCCAGGGCCCCTCAGATGCAGCAGGGCTGGACAAACTCCTGCCCCACGACTCCTAAGCCAGGCCCACGTCTCCCCTCAATTGGGTTTTGCTACAGTAACTAGGACAGAGGATCCACGCCAGCCGGGTAGGCCGGTTTTGTCCATTCAGAAGGCAGAAACCCAGCCCTTGGGAGTTGCGCAGTGTGGGGTCGGAGGGCTCCCCAGGAGCCAAGGACTGCTTTCCCGTCCTTTCAACAAAAGGAGTGGCACCGGAAGCAAATAGGAGGCCGGGACGTAGGCAACAGCTAAGTTCGGCTAACTCGCAGATGCTGGAAAGCTTGCGAACCTTCGACTTTACAAATCTTACTTGAAATGGAAGCCTTGTGCTGAAAGGTACCCCTTAGATCCTTTCTTCTCAGATACAGCGAACACTGGCCAGATTGTTTCAATTTCCGAATTTATTAAAATGATTAACCTCAATACTGCAAGTGCATGTACAAAATATTTGTAAAAAATGTTTTTAATGAAACATTAAAGAACTTACCTCAAATGCTGAAAAAGTCCTTTTTTTTTCATTCTTTCAGTACAAGGAATACATTGTATCTCAAAGGTATTACAACTCAGCAAAACAATTTAAAACAGTAATTTGAAAAATGATTGAAAATCGAACACTTTACATGTATTTTTATGATCATCTCCTAATTCTCACAATGCCAAAATCTTTACGAATCATTGCGCAAGCTCAAGCTTGAAGTTGTATGGAACGCGGCCTCTTCCAAGTGGTCACCGTGTCACCCGTGTGTGGCTCTCGCCATCCCACACGGGGAAGTTCCACGGCGGAGCCCGAGCAGCTCTGAGGCCCCCACCTGGAAAAACGGAAATCAGGTTTCCCTGAAAGGTTTGTGCACCCCGCCCCGGGGCCACGGGGAAGGTCAGCCTCGAAAAGCCGAGGCCACAATCAAGTTAAAACAGACGTAAATAAGTTACTAAAATTAAGCTTCGAAATGGAGAAATGTGGGAAATGTGGTATTTTGTGACTTTTTCCTTTAGGGGGAAATTCCTGAAATGGCTGTCGTTGGTATTCCGGGAGACGGTCTGAGACTCAAGTCTCTGAACCTCTTCGACACACTCCACACTAAGGCGGAGTGAAAGGGGTGGCCCACGGCTTTCTGGTACTTTCCAGACACGGAGTCTATGCTCGACCTTCCTCAGTGGCTGGAGACTCACACTTCTCCCCCGAGGGACAATGTGAGGACGGATGTGGTCCACAACGCGCTCTGAGGGCCTCAGGACAGAACCCGGGGGAACTGTTCTGCTTCGCAGCGGGGGACAGACCACACGCGGAGCAGGGGCGGGGGAGGGGGGTGCAGCAGGGAATCGGGTCTGCACCTGCCCTCCACGCTACCTGAGGGGTGACCTGCATGGGACAGACGGGAATGAGGTGACGTTAAGACCACACGAGTAACTCCTTAAAGAACATGAGGAGAAACAAAAACTCTACATTGCAAAGACTTTTATGAGCATTATTAATTTCTACATGGAACCCCTATTGGCAACTGTTTTATGGGACTCAGTTTAAAGGATGTTCCCCAGAACCTGGCAACCAGCAGGAATCACCAAAAGTAAGAGTAAGCATTGAGGTTTTCTCCACTGGACTTTTTGTTACGGGCAGATTCCTTTTAATATCTTAAGACATGGGCTACTTTTCTATAGACACTACACGAATCCCCTAAATCGATCTTACTCAGGAACACTGTATATCTGAAAGTACACGTACACATTTCCCAGAAATAAGGAGACCCACTGGCGTGAAACACCTGCTACAGCTTTATATTCCCAAATTCTTTGTCCAATGATTTGTAAAATAATCCAGAGAAATGAAAGGTTGGTATTGAACATAAAGTAGTAATCAAAAATTTGCTCATTAAGTTACTTAAAATTAATTTCTCTTCTCAAAGTGCTTCAAAAAAAATTAAATCTGACTCCTCTTTTCGTTTAACTGATAATATAGTCAAAAAATCTTTGATATTTTCATACATAAACTAACATAAGCCAAGAACTCCCACTGATGCAGTGCTTAAAACTATATATTTTATAATCTCCTATTTTATTGGCATGAATATTTCTAAACTTAAAAACCTTCCTGGTAAGTTCTTTTAATTTCTTATGACAAAAATTTCTCACAACACACAAATATTTACAACATATACATCGTTCTCAGTTCTTTACATTGAATTTCAAAGACAAACATTTTTATAGGTTACCACAGAACAAAAGCTGTGACTCATGTTTTTATTTCATAAACTATTATAAGTTAAAGTGAATAGAGTTTTTAATATTCCTTGTAGCATTTTACAAGTGCAACAGAAACCTTGAAGACCCAAATTAAGAGAGCTGTAGTTCATTAGATAAATGTTGCCTGTTGTCATCACATTTGTTCACAGCAAAGTTTTGAAAAAATAAGCACCAATCATTCTTGCAAAGAACAATTTTATCTAAAAGGATTGAAAAGTGTTAAATACAAGGTCTTTAATTTACATGACAAGCAATAAATACACCGACTCGGAACTCGTCCTCCACACTGCCGCTCTCGTACAGAAAATGTACTGGAAAACGAGCGGTCATGTGTGTCGTTGTACTTTTTTTTTTTTTTTAAAGAAACCAATTCAACTCCCGACCGATGGTTTGCTCTTTTGAGCAAGGCCACGCACAGTACACCTGGGCCAGCGGACAGTGTGAAATGACAAAACTCCGAGGTGGGGGGGACATCTAGCAAATAAATCAAAAAGCCAAAGATCATTGCTGGTGATATTAGCATATACTAGAAAACCTTAATATGCTGCTACTATGATTTGTTTTAAATTATTGTTTAGTCATATATTAAAGAGCCAGTTGATGCTCTTGGTTAAAAAAAAAGAGAGAAAAAAAAAAAGGAGAAAGAAAATTGTGTAGCCACATTATTGTTTTCAACGTCCCGTGTGGAAAGTCGCTATCACTGTACAATTTCGCTTGAGCCTTTATTTTACAACTGGGCTTTCCCTCTAACTCAGAATTGCACGTAGGAAGGCTATTTAAAAAGTACAATAAAAATTTGCACAAATCAGACCTAGGGAGAGTCAGCGGGCTGTACACTTTCTACAGTATGACGCTGCTAAGTGGAGAGACGAGGGAAGCGCGGCCACTACAACGGTCTCGGGTGAGGAATTACTGACGGGAATTTGTTTTTATTTCTTTAAAGTAGGCTTCCCAAGCCAAACCGAGACCGCGCGCTCATGCGTTGAGCCGCAGAGACTGGTCTTCTCTCCTCCGGGAGGAGATGTCAATGTCGATGGAGTCCTTGCCCACGATCAGCCGCAGGCGCTTGGCCGGAGGGAGGGGAATGAAGTCGTCCTCGAAGTCCTCCTCGTAGTCCTCGTCCTCCTCGTCGCCGTCGGAGGAGGAGGGCTCGTCCGTGCTCTCCTCCCCGTACCGGCCGTAGTCGTCCACTTCCATGCGGGACTCCAGCAGCGAGAGAGGGTCGCCGCAGCACAGCCCGTTCTCGTGGAGCCCCTCCGGGTGCGGCCCCCGACCCTCCTCGTCGCGCTTCAGCTGGATCTTCAGTTTCGTGGCGCTGCTGCCCGACCCTGAGTTAAAGCCGTTGTTGAGCTTGGCTACATACAGGTTGTTATCGTTCTCGTGGTCTTTGCTTAGCTTGATGCTTATTTTTGAGGAATTCATGCCGTCGCTCTCCGGGTCGTTGGTCTTGCTGCTGCTGTCGTGGCGCCTCCGAAGAGTCAATTTGGGGATCCCAGAGTTATTCTCCAGGATCAGCTGTGCGTCATACCTGGTGATTCGCCTCTTCTTTTTACTTTTTGCAGTTCTGAAGCCGTCCTTCGTCTTGAAGCTGTCGGACGTGATGACCGGCCCGCCGCCGGGCGAAGGCGCCCAGTCCGGGTAGGCCCCGGGCGCGGGTTCCGAGGCGCCGTGCTCGGCCGGCTCGCAGGGGGCCCCCAGCACCTCGGGCGCCACGCTGGCTTCTCCAGGGGAGTCCGGCCCCTCGGCAGTCTCCTCGGCTTTCGCCGACGGTTTCCCAAGTTTCCCTTGCCGTGATTTCTTCTTCGACAGGCCGCTGTCACTCCTTGGACACTTGGCTTCCCCGCTGGGCGCCGCCTCGGGGGTCAGGTCCCCCTCCTGTGCCCGGGCAGCCGGCTGCTCGCTGCCACCGCCGTCTGGGCCCGCTGCTGGCGAGCCGCTGTTATAGCCGTCCGACGGGCTGGGATCCAGCGGGAGGTCAGAGGGCTCCTTCGGGGTCGTCCTCGTCCGCGCGGACCGCCTGGTGGTGTAGGCGCAGGGGGCGCCGTGCCCCAGCGGCGGGGCGCCTCGCCCGGAGCCCGCCCGGTTCTCCCGCGCCGCGTGTCTAGTTAAGCACCCGCCGGCCGCCGCAGCCGGAGCCGGTCCCTCGGGCTCCTTCTCTTTCTTAATGGGTAAGTTTTTATACAGAACTACTTTGGGCTCTTTGAGTACTAAGTTTCCCATCTCGAGTTTTCTTGAAGCGCTCTTTTGCTCCAGCCGTTTGCAATGATTTCTTAATTTTATCTTTGAAAGTAAAGGCTTTGTAGGCTTTTTCAGTTTCTTTGGTACCCTGGAATTGTTTACGTGAGTTAGCTTAGATGAGGTAGAGTTGGAAGAAGCTGGAATTCTTGACATAGACTGCCTTGTTAATGTTCTGTTCTTGCTGTTCTTTTTCACACCGACGGAAGATTTTCGGTTAGGAGCTGCAAGTTAAGAAGAAGAAAAAAAAGGATGAAAACCGGCCCAGGGAACACAGGCGCACTCAACACGCCGCCACCCAAACCTGCCGGCTACGAGAGGGTCGGGTCACAGCAGCGCGCGAGGGAGCCCCGCCGGTCTCGGCCGGCACACGGGCACCCCCACGCCGCCTTCCTGGAACTTCCCAACCGCTGCCTCCGGTTACGGAGCACCTCGGCACCTCCCGCAGCGAGGACCTGCGCTCCACCCGGAGCTCGTCCATAACCCATCGTGATACTTGTCCGACAAGTAAGTATTTCTTTAGCTGGGTTATTTCCTCGAGTCTTTGTAAACTTGAGGAAAAAATCAGATTTTCTTTCACAAATTCTCAACATCATTCAAGATAGGTTTCTAAAACCCGTGACTCATTGACTCAAAGGAAGGGTATTACTTGACTGGTGATACAGAACAGAAATACGTCATCGCTGAGCTCTAACAGACACTCTACCACAGCGGTTTCAAACAAGCAAGAGAGACCCTAAGAACTATATACTGTTAATCCCACAACGAGCTGCACGACACGAAGTTCTTGCTCCAGCTCCGCGAGGACCAGCAGACTTCCAGGGGCGGCAGGACGTTCTTGGCTGTGTCCCTCCAGGGACCGCCTGCTGAGGCGGAAGGAAGCCTGCGACTAGAGTTACACTCTTGGGACAAAGGGGGATCCAACTTCCTCTGGACAAGCGTACGGATAGGCTGCAAGGACCCTACTGGGAACTGCCAACCCGAGGACCCCGATCAGATTCGCAAAAATGCTTATGGGTGACTCAAGTTTAAGCTGCTTCCGCAGTGAGCTTGACCTTACCAGGGACTTTCTGCTGTCTTTATGTTTTTCTCTCCGTTGACAGTTTGGACCTGTACGCACAGTGTTTTACAGGAGTCCATTTCTCAATTCCTTATCGTCCCCCCCAGCCCCCACCTGAAACCCCTTCCTCATCAAACTACCCCGAGTCGTCCACTAAGGAAGCTGAGATGACGGAAGTAATAATCCCCACTTCTCACCAGAAAACAGGGAGAGTAAAAAGTGACTATGGGTAAACCGAGCACACTGCCCGGCAGAGGCTGTCGCCGTGGACTTGGCCAAGGGTTGCCAGGGCGACGGCTGTTCCTTCTGCATGGCTAAGCAAATAAGTTACCACTAGTTAGCTTCTATTGAGAGAGAACGAGAATGCGCTACAAGCATTCCCAACATATCAAACCACCAAGAAGAGAAGGCTCTGTACTCAAGGGTGTCTCATAAGAGGCTTTGGGGTACCCAAACCAGCGCAGCTCCCAGGAGCGAGCGCCCGGACTGGACCCAGAAGGCGCTTCTCCGTATGGGCTACCCACCCCGAGGCAGCCACTCATTCTTAGAACAGCGGGAGTCGCGGTTTGGGCGCCATTAGACCGGAGAACTGATGTCGCAGGAACTGGAATCATACAAACTCGCTGGAAAGGATTTTTTACAACACGAGCCTATACAGGGCCTTCTTTGGTTACAGGATTCCTTTATGCTCACGAGGCTTCCTACGAGGTCCGCTGAAGACATGTGCTTGCTGACGTGGGCGCGCGCCGGCGTCGGGCACTTCGGCCTTCTCAAACGTGGCTGTGAAGTCCCCCGGCTCAGCTCAGACTCCTCAAGGACCACTCCAGGACCCAACTTGGTGGCTGTCAGCCTCACTGTTCCTTTTGCCGCCCGTTCCCACGCTGTACCCGCACCACCCCTTCGACACACATGCACCCCACGTGCTGGACCGCGAGCCCGCTGCAACCTGGATCCAGCTCGTCCCTCTAATGAGACAGCCTCCGGCAACCCTGGAAAACCTTGTCATGCCATCCAGCAGCCACTCTCCAGCCCTGCCCTCCTCTTCCTTTCTCTGCAGAATGGGACACTGCTCACCGTTTTTCTTCCTGAAAACTCCCATCCCACTGGCTGCCCACGGGGGCACACTCTCGCATGCCGTGCCCTCGGCCCCCGGCAACTGCGCTCCTCAGGCCTCTGCTGTCCTAGGCCCTCTGGAAACAACACGCCTTCTCTGGGTGACAGGCACCCACCCCGCCCCCCGCACAGCTCTTACCACTGATGCACCGGCCGCTCCCAAGCCACTTTCTCTAGCCCCCCTCCTAGAGTACAGATCGGTAACACTGAACACCTGCTGGCATCCGGACCGCCCCGAGGATGGACCCCTCACCACAGCCAACACGCCCCCCGAACTCAGCATCAAGCTTCACGGCCGCTCTCCCTCTAAATTCTCCATCCTGCTCAGGAACACCACCATCCACACAGCTGCCCAAGCAGACGGCGGGAGGTCACCCCACCCTCCTGCTTTCCCTAACCGCCTCCCACAGTCAGCCACCATGTCCCGTGGAGCCCCCTCCTGCGGCGTCCCTGCGGCCATCTACTTCTCTCGCTTCATAGCCCCTGCCTGAACCGCCGCGATTCCCTCCCCTACTTTTTCTCATCTCTCCCATCGCTTCCCCAACAGCCTGTTCTCTACCCTGTGGCCGGAGTGAGATTCCTAGTACAACATGTCACTGCCGGACTTTAAGACTTTCAGTAACCAAATGCCCTCAGAATAAATCCAAAAATTTCAACAATGGTCATATCCCTCCTTCCTACCCCCTACTCCAGCCACGATCTACTTTCCTTATTCGGGTCCTACACTCATCCCCGTGTCTCCATTTATGAATTCCCTCCACCCTGAAGACACTTTCCTAAGCCAGTCCCCTCCCCCCTTTAAGACTCCACTTAAGAAATGCTTTGCTCAGAGAGACGTTCAGGACTTTCTACAAATGACCATTTCTGTTTTCAAAGCACCCGAGATCCTCCTTAGTCCAGCTTCTATCTTAATCCATTAGGTGAGTCTCATTTTCTGGTGATTCTGAATTCACCCCTGCTTCCAAAGGACTCTCTGCTAGCCGACTGCGGGACCCACCGACAGGGCGCTCGTGTTTGTGTTCTAAACCACACAGAACGGACTGTGTTGGATGCTACAGATTTGTTGATATGGAGATCTCACTTACACGTGTTCGTGTACTGGTCAGTCTAGCCTTTTGTTTTAAAAAGTTTCCCAACAAAACCCAGCAGAGGTATGATCATCAAGTCCAAGGTCAGAAGAGACCCAGAGAAGCTGGGCAAGGCCAACGTGAGCAATGTGACGAAGATGGGAGCCCCGCGGGCGCCAAGGGCTCCTCCTGGACGGGTCTACACTGTCCTGGTTCAGGAGGACAGTGATGGTAGGCTAGAGGAGGAAGACAGCAGCCACGCTGCCAACAAATGGGAGTCTGTCCAGGGACTGAGGATTCTGACTCAGCGGAGATCGGGCACCCCTGCGGCTGCTCTGGCCTCGGCGCAGCCACACCACGGGGCGACTCTACCGTCTGGCGGCGGGGTCAGATCTCCAGTGCACAAATCAAAAACAGTCATTCTAGGTGCAGAGACACATTCTTAGCAATTATTATATACTGATGCTGTGCGAAATGGCCCAATCAGTATGATCTCAATCCTAACATGCCTTCTTTGTAGCGCTATTGCGTCCACAGGGCAACCGAGTGCGTCCGGCTGAGCGCGCCTCACATCGCCCACCTGCAAGGGGGAGAGCTGGCATCTGGACTGAATGGCATCTGTGACTCAAGAGCTACCGTACTAAGTATGCCACAGAGTTACAGGGGCGGTCCCTGCTCCCGGGGACAGGACCCACATGGCACGGCCCTCACCACCACCTCACGGCGCCCTCCAAATCACAAGGCAGCCCTGGGTGGGCATCGAGAACGACAGCCAGACACGAGAGCGAAATGACATCAAAGCTTCCCGTGCGCCTGGGCTGGCTTCGGTACTGGCAAGGCCCCAAAAATGCACCCTATGCCCATAAACCAAGGGAACGTGAGGGCCGGCCACAGCCTGGCATCTTCAGAACTTGAAGATCCAGAAAACCCTGAGTGAGACTGCAGAGCTCAGTTCAAGTCTGTCGGGCACAACAAGCATCTTCCATCGGACACGACCGGCCCGGAGCAGCAGGAGCAGCCCGCAACCGGCTGTCGGACTGAGGAGTAGCCTACTGGCTCGGCTTCAAGGAGGGTTCAGATTGACAGTGAGGTCTGTGACCGCTGACAGAAGTGGGTGGCCCAGTCCACTATCTCTAGGACAGGCGCTCCAGAGTTAAGATAAAGTTGTTCCACCCGCCTTGTCTTCCAGGCCTCACACCGACCTGTGGCACTGGCACGACTCACACCCCGGTTTGCAGCACTATGGGGGGGTGGCCTAGCCATCGAGCCGCGAGAGGCCTAAGACACCACGCTCTTCTAATAATGGCCTTAAAATTCAGGCTTATGGACTGAATTTGTGAAAATGGATTTCTTGTTGTCTCCTCTTTCCAGATGCTAAAGCCGGGTCAACTTGTGGCTCTAGAGACACCTTTCAAAAAAGAGATCTGCGCAGAAGAGAGAATTTTTCTCCCGACTAGGCAGAAATGTTTCTGTAAAAAAGAACACACAAGCTGTTCACCACCTCCTCTGGGAGAGGCTCGGGCAGCCTGGGCTTTGCTCCCAGCTGCAATCTCAAAAAGTCTTTCTTTCAAACAGGTAGGAGGTTATGGTCGAGACACAGACACCAAAAGCAATCCCTTCTGGAAGAAAACCCGTGGGGACCTGACAGGACACTGCTGTGACGGTAGCCAGCGGAGGGCGGGCTGCGAGGGCTGGTGATGGTAAGCCTCTCGCTCCTCCACAGTGTGGGGCCGTGTCTGTCAACTCTAGCACCCGGCCCTCCACGTCAGCTCCATCCACCCTCCCAGTCCTCACAACTGTAATCCTGCAGAAAGGTGATCTGAACCGTCAGCGCACCCCCATCCGCAATGACTGGGGAGCGCTGCATCGCCCCTCGGTGAGGCTGAGACCCCGGGTCAAAGGGACCCCGGCTCGCTCTGCGCTCACAGCCTGCTTGGCGTGACGACCTGGGTGCTTGCCGCACCCCGAGGGATGGGCCTGAGTCTCAGACATCTCCGTAGCTCTCCAGCAACTAGGAGGCTTCTGAAGATTTGGCTTACTAAGAAATACTCCCCAGACAGCCACACGGTAGTCGGCACTTTCAGAGGCTGCCTACGTTATGCTCTTTTCGACTCCGTGGTGTACTGAGTTCAGTATGCATACAGTAGGAATAGAGTTAATGCCCCCCGTGTCACAGAGCCGTCCGGCGTGCGCAGCGTGATGGCCATGTCCGCGCTCTGTAGTGTTTCATGCATATATTTCTAAACCGGGCTTCACAAGTCTCCAGTTTCGCCAAGGAACCAGACTCCGAAAACAAAACGTTGATTATGTTCCATTTATTGTGAGAACCAACAGTCAACAGCGAGTGGCGGGCTAACTGCGCTCTTTCTGCTCACTCGGGGCAGGGACACTGGACTAGGAACACAGTACTGCTCTTCCGCTACGGGGTGACACCTGGCCCCTGACCTCCAGCAGCAGGTGGACGCAGGAACTCAGGGCATGACGTTCCCCAACGCGGGAGAGGCCTTCCCTTCTCGCCTGGGTTTTCTGCAGGGGAGGGGTGCACCGCGCTGGGCTGCAAACGGCTGAAGATGGGGGGTGGGGAGCCTCAAGCAACGCGACTTCCAGAGGCACCAAGGCGCTACCAAGGACCTATGGCCACCTGGCGTGGCAAAACAGGTGTCCCTAGAGATCACTGAGTCAAAACTTGGAAACTTTATTCCTGTCAGAAACAAGTCAGACTAACGCACCTACAGCTTTAGTGGCAACGAGAGGAAACTGGTGTTACCCAGAGGAAACCGGCAGCCACGAGCATGGTCCCAGGACTTCAAAGTTCCACAAACAGGACGCGCTTCCTTTTGCCCGGCTAGGCTGGCTCCACTTTCTTTCCTCTTTATGCTCCATTCTCTCTGTTTCCAGTTTCCATACGGTCTTGCCCCCACGCACAACCGGTATCTTAACGCTGGCTTCTTCGTGGCACCTCTCTTGCTGCTTTCCGTGGTGGCCAGGGCACCACATCAGAGTACCAGCGACCTTCCGAACGCTCCTCTATTGCAGCTCTGAGCCTGGGAGCTGGCGGTCTGGTGAACGGGCTCAGTTCGGTTGGAAAAGGGCAAGCAAGCGACAAAAAGGTGGAAGCCTTGAGGCCAGAGCTATGAACTGCCCAGGCTGGTGCCAGGTGTGCTAAGGGACTGGCTCGGCGCGGGGACACAGATGTGCCTCCACACCTCTACCCAGTCCTTCGTCTTCCTGTAGGACCTACCACCATCGCCACAGTCAAACTAACACCTTGGAAATGTTTCTCTCAAACACAGGACGACCCTGGAACACATGATGAAGAATGTAGTATCCAGTTACCAGGAATTCAAGAAAAGCAGAGAGTTCAGTCTAGAGGACAGGACTGAATCTGGAGGCGGGATACAGACTGCTTTTGTGCTCGGATCGTTTCTAGAACCTTGTGGTGCTGCTGAAGCATGTGAGTCCCAGAGCTTCTCTCAATATTTAAAAGATCGAAACTACTGAAGTGAAGCATACTTTAGAAAGACAACTGTGTGAAAATACTTTAAAAAATAATAATAATAAAAGAAGATAGATGCTTATCAATCTCCCTTACTTACTTGCATTGTTTTTTTCCTGAGTGGTATCTGCATCAGTGTTAGAGCTGACAGATTGACTGTCTGAGTTTTTGCTGCTGTCACCTAACTTTTTAAGCCTATTTAAGCGTTTATCTGTCTCTCTGAGTCCGTATTTGCTATTGATAACAGGAGCAGGTGCAGGCAGTCCCACTCTGGATTTAAAAGCACCGGTTCCCCGTCTGAAAGAGAAAACAGCACAGGTTAAACAGACAGTGTCCTTACTCTAAGGTCAGGTGCTGAGGGCTCATGGTCCCCAGGTCAACAGATGTGGCGCGCTGATGAGGCCTCAATAATCACTGGAAATCTGTCAAGTCTAGGACTCGCAAAAGAATTAAAAATGTATAGAAAACTAATGCAGAAAACCCTCTAGATTTTAAACAACAAATTATTGTGACAATTATCAACTGATTATTCACTGCCCACGAGAAACTCCTAGACCCTGAAGTCCAGGTCTAGATGGAAATAACCAATTCTTCCATTTCAAAGCTGGTGAGTCCAGAGTCAGGTCTACATTGTGGCTGAATTAACCCACCTGTTAATTGTATTCCAGCTCTGCTCTATGCAATTTACCTCTACAACACTGCATATTAAGAATTAACGAATTAAAAAGAAACCAGAGAATTTCCATAAATTAATTCATTACTTAGAACTCGATGTTAGATATAGACAAATATTAACTAAAAATCTATGCAAGGTGGCTACACTGTATCAGTGAAAATCTGACTTCTAGAACAATAAAAACTGTTTAATTTCTTTCATGTTACTAAGATAAACATGAATGACCATAATTAACACAATGTTACTTAATAAAGGGCATTAAAAGACTTGCTTTTATTACAGGACAAGAATCATTTGTAGCTTACTCTAATAATTTCTATTTTTTTTTAAATAGTTTCTATTTTTATATAAATTCTTCTGAAGTGAAAGTGCTCAGGAAAGGCTCTCATCAACCTTACTGAACATAGCTCTGCAGATACTAACTTTATTCAGTGGGTACTGGTGAATTTCTATTCAGCTCAATTCGAGAATGTAAGTTAGTAAGGTTAAAAAAAAAAGGTGCTACATATTACAATTAAAAAATGAAAAATCCCTTTGGTCAAAATTGCCTTCACGGACTTACTTCTGTCTTCCGCTTGTCAACAAAAAGCTGTACAACAGCCTCTGAACACACAGTAAGGCTGAGGGCGCCCTCTAGTCTGGGGGCAGGACCGGCCTCCGCAGGAGCCCATGTGGTTCCCTCCTTTGAGGATGTGGCTGAAGACACAGTAACTTCTCCCCCAAGTGACCACAGTGCTCCACTTTCAGCTAAGGGACAACAAAACTTTCAATTCCCCTTCCTACCATCTTACCTCTTAGAGCTTAGGGGCCACACACTTAAACCCATCACCAAAACCATCTCTGGTAAGTAGGGTGAGCATTCTTGCTTTCTATACCTTTCCAGAACAGATCTGGTATTCCACTTTTATTACCATTTCTGCAAAAAAGTCACAACAAACTGGGAGCCTGGGTGGCTTAGCTGGCTAAGCGTTTGCTTTCCGCCCAGGTCATGATCTCAGGGTCCTAGGATGGAGTCCTGCATCAGGCTCCCTGCTCAGTGGGGAGCCTGCTTCCCCCTTGGCCTCTGCCCCTCCCCTGCTTGTATGTGCGCTTCTCTCTCAAATAAAAAAATCTTAAAAAAAAAAAAAAAAATCACAACAAGCTTATTGTGTGGCTGCCTCAGTTCTGGTCTTGGGAAGTGTGTTAGAAGTCATGGTGGGGGGGGGCCCTGGGTGGCTCAGTGGGTTAAAGCGTCTGCCTTCGGCTCAAGTCATGATCTCAGGGTCCTGGGATTGAGTCCAATCGGGCTCTCTGCTCAGCAGGGAGCCTGCTTCCCTTCCTCTCTCTCTGCCGGCCTCTTTGCTGACTTGTGATCTCTGCCTGTCAAATAAATAAATAAAATCTAAAAAAAAAAAAAAAAAAAAAAAGTCATGGTAAAACGTCCAGATAATTGTTACCCAGACAGGCAAGCAGTTCCCACTCTACTCCACACGAAAACGTGTGCAGAGAGAAAATGCAGAAATGTCAAAGGCGATTTTATCTTACAGGGATCAAGAGAGTAATACAGTATTTTGAGATATTCCAGGTCTTTCCCCCATAACCTACAACATTTCTGGTTCATGTCTCGAAAAATGGGCCATAATTATGCTTAAATACAAATAATCATGGTGGAATTATTTTTTCTGGAAATTAGAGGGTTTTTTTGTTTTAAGTAAAACTCTACTATTCCTCTGCTTCTCTACTTCCCTGCTTTTCTCTTTCTAACGTATGCAAGGGAGGCGTGCTCCAGCTTGCTCAACGAGCAGAACAATCCCAGATCTAAGCCAGGAAGCGCAAGAGGCCAGTCAGCCGCCTGCACGCCCGGGGCCCGCGGGCACCAGCGCTAACCGCCTGCCCGTGTGTCATCCCCTGCTCCTCTGCCACGGTCCACGCACCCGTCTATGCGGTTAGTCCTTTTTAAGCAAACAAAACCAAAAACACAACCAAGATGTATGGTAACACTCCGCAATCAGCTTTATCGTCATGCGACAGACGAACACATCTAAACTGAACACAGGTTTTGGAAACCGTATTTTTTACACTGAATGAACAAACACTCCATGATGTAGTCAATCATTCCACATCGGTGGTCAGTGAAACGTGCAGGGGTTTTGTTTTTGTCTGCCACCGTGAACACTGTCCTTGTACTGCTTGCAAACCAACTCCTGACTAGCAAGGGCTATTTCCACAGGAGAGACTTCCATGGGGGACTGACCCCAGGCAGAAGGCACACTTACTCTGAACGATGCTGTCAGACAACGCACGGCCCTACTAACAGGGTGAGTGCCTGCTTCTCCACACCCTCACCACCACTACAGACTCTCTCTCTCACGTTTTGCCAACTGGACAGTGACAACGAACGCCTGATTACTGTTCTAACTGCCTTGTTTATGGCCATGATTTTCTGTGCGGCATCCTCCTTAACTTTCTCTTCTAGAGTCTGTCTTTTGAGCTTCTAGGAGCTTTCTGTTATTCGGAATATTAACTCTTTGCCATCTGTGTACTGTTTTCCCTTCGGTTCATCAGTTGTCTTTGATTTTACTTTTGACATTTCAAACATTTTTGTATTCACTGTTTTTCTACCTTACTTCTTTCAAAACATCTCTACTACGCCAAGGTTAGAGAGCTATTCTCCTATTTTTTTCTAACAATTTTGCATTGTATTTTAAAATTTTAATCTTTAACCCATCTTGAACTCAGTTTGGTCTTCTTCCAGATGCAGAGCGAATGCTACTAACATCATTCAATAGACAAATCATCTCCCCGTGTGGGATATCAGATCTCACACACATTCGCCTCTGTTTCAGGCCTCTCTGTTCATGTCCTTTTATCCGTTTGTCCACTCCTGGGCCAACAGCATCCAGTGTTGATCACAACAGTTTCCTGGCTACTTTTTTTTTTTTTTAATATTTTATTTGTTTATTTGACAGATAGACATCACAAGTAGGCAGAGAGGCAGGCAGAGAGAGAGAAGGAAGCAGGCTCCCTGCTGAGCAGAGAGCCCGATGCGGGGCTCGATCCCAGGACCCTGAGATCATGACCTGAGCCGAAGGCAGAGGCTTAACCCGCTGAGCCACCCAGGCGCCCCTCCTGGCTACTTCTGCTACCCACTAATGCAAATCTCCTCTAACTCTACTTTAGAAATTGTTTCTTGGCTATCATCAGACATATTTCCACATAAACTTAAAAAATAATCTAATCCTTCATATTTTTTGGTCCCTCGTTAGAATTTATTTCTCACATTTTCTGCAGTAAAATCCACAGCATTTACTCAAGAACCCATTACATTCCCAACAGCGATCGTCAGGATGGTGACAGCCAGAAAGGAGCATCAAATGCATCCTGGACGCTTACCGATGATCTCGGAGCCTTCGTAAGCCTTCTGCTTGCCCCCCTCGCTCATCCTGCAGCCCCTGGCAGAGCGCACGTGGGCATGTCCCTGTCACTGCTGCCCTCACAGCTGGCATCGCTCTAGGCCTGTCCACCCAGCACGTACCAGACCTTACCTAAGTCAACTACTCAGTTAACTGCTGACTAGTAACTGGGTGACTCCTCTCACCCTCTTGGGTGTTCCTAAGACTTTCAAGAATATCTGCGATCAACCTTTAAATCGATGTGCTCTAACAGTGTGAAAAGAGCCTTGGCTACTGCCGGGAGTGAGCCTTTCCACCACGAACGGATCTGCTCGTGTGTCTACTTACTCCTCACACTAACCCTGGGGGGGAGGTGGGCTCACCCCCACCTGGCCAGTGAGAAACCGAGGCTCGCAGAGCACAGAAGTGCCTGAGGAGCAGGACACATGCGATTCCAGGAAAAAAGCAGCTTCCGGCCGGGTTCAGAATCCCGAGTACACGGTTACGTTTCCCCAAGCCGCCTCCGAAAGCTGACTAGGCACGCCGTTTGCTGCGTTCATTCATTCGGTGACCGAATATTTATCAAGAACCCACCAGTTAGTGCCAGGCACTGTTCCAGAGGCTGGGGATACAGTATGCAGCAAGTGAAAAGGCTGCGAAATCTCTGCCTCCATAGAGCTTCCATTCCAATGGGCAAATGACCAGAAGCCACAGAATAACCTGACAGCTAACATCTGAGAACTGACTGTGCTGTTCCGCATGCTTCACGGGAAATAACGAATTTAACCCTCACAGTGACCCTGTGAGCTCACTTCTAGTGTCATCCCCACTTTACAGATGGTGTAAGTGAGGCACAGAAAGCACCTAAGCTGCTCAAGCTCTCATAGCTGACGAAGTGCGGCCACAGTGTCTTAGCTCCGGCAGACGGCACTCGGCTCAGGCACGTCATGAGGCATTATTCAAGTATAATTAAACCACTTTGTGGACTAGAGCGCTTTTTGTGAGCTGCTCTAAGATTTAACCAACATTCAAACCACTTTTTAGGTAGAAAATAAATTTTTTACACCCACCCCCCACTCCCCCCCCCAAAAAGGGAGGGGGCAAAAACTCAGCGGCACCAGGAACAGGTTTTCTGCCATTCCTTGTGGCAAGGACCACGGTGACGGGAGAGGTTCCTTATTAAGGAAGAGACAGAACTCAGGAATTATGAAAAGCATGGACATCAAAACATAAAAATTCCCGTGGTGAGCACAGCAGAACGTGAACACAGGCCGAATCACTATGCTGCACACCTGAAGCTGACCTACTGTGGTGTGTCAACTACACTCGGATAAAAAAATTAAAACAAACAAACCAACCATAAAAATTCCAGAAGCCACAGTTTGGTAATACCCAAGACAACTTCAGGCTTTTTACCAAATTATCAATGGTGAATGTCACTTGCTATTTTTTGGGCAACCCCACTCTGCACTGTGTGTGTGTGCGTGCGTGCACACGTGTGTTATTTCCCATTCTCTCTTTAGGCACACTGGCATCCTGAGCTACTCAGAAGCAGCAGCAGCTGGTAAGAACACTTCACAGGCTGAAGTGCCCACGTCCCTGAAGAGCTCTGCATCTTTGGCTGCTCACGTGCGCTGTGCCAGGTGCAAGGCTACGGAACACAGAAGACCACCCTGTGTGGAGGAAGTGACATCAGCTCGTGCCCACAACCGCCTTACTTGATACGCTACCTTTCGCAAGTGTAACACTCGCAGAACTCATTATTTTCTCCAAAAAACCCGTCTCCGTAATAACAAGAAATCTCTTCCCCAGGCTCAATGTCTCTCAGGGCCTTCACACACGCCGTGTCTCGACCAGTTGACACAAACTGAAATACAAACGGCTCATTAAGAAACTCATATGTGAGGCAGAAACAAAACACACAGGAAATAAAAAAGGTCTCTGCTTACCTTGCAGTTAGGTCTGCAATCTGAAAAATGTCCAAAAGATAAAGTCAATTAACTGTAGATAAGATCTGAAACACGAACAATTACAGAAATCTGAAATAAGCTTTCCACGTAATTTTACAACTTTCGATAGAAGTTTATGTCTCAAGTTCAACCACATCATTATTTATTTACTAAGCTGGTGGGGAAACATAAAGATGTCCCATCGCCCACCTCCTCCGCAGGGAGACGAGGTTTTAGGCGGTCTGACGAGGCCAGGCCAAGTCTTAGCAGTCCTGCCCGCCACGCGTGCCCGCCCGACAAGCACAGCTTACCATGGTTGATAAAGGCAGCGGGGCCAAGCCAGAGCTGAGCACAGTTTTTCCTCGTGGAATACATGACACTGAAGTCGTTCTCTCCGTGTCTAAGTAGCATGTTCTCCTCAATTTCTGAAAGTTCGGCAATACAACCCACCAGTAATTCTATTTTGTCATTTCGTTTCCTATTTAAAATATGTCATGTTAAAAATTACTAGTAATTATAAATAACAAGGCTTCTTTTTAATAAAATAAGCCTGTCCAATCAACAGCAGGAATTGAGAATGCCTAGTTGTGTGTCTATCAGCTGAGCCCCGGGACCTCCACCAGGCTGTCCTCACCCACCCTGGCAGCCCCGTCCTGCCTTGCGCCCCAGCTGCCTGTGCAGCTGCCTGGTTGCTCTGAGAGCCCGGGAGGCACTCCAGGCCGGAAGCTGCGCCACCCCCCGGTCTGCGTCCCCTGCAGCACGCACTGTCGTGTTCTGTAGGCGGGAAGGACTCCAGTACCCGGGGCCCTGAACACAACCTGCTGATAGTGGATGAAGGAGACAGAGACAAGCAGGAGGAAAGGCCTCAGGGACCCAGGACTGGGATGCCACCCTCTAGAGCAGCACCATCCAAGAGAAACATGACGGAAGCCAAACACGCAATCCTCCGCGTTCCAGCAGCCACGTTAAGGAAAGAAGAGAGCAGGACGCCTGGGTGGCTCAGTGGGTTAAGCCTCTGCCTTCGGCTCAGGTCATGATCCCAGGGTCCTGGGATCGAGTCCCGCATCAGGCTCTCTGTTCAGCAGGGAGCCTGCTTCCCCAACCCCCACATCTGTCTCTCTGCCTGCTTGTGATCTGTCAAATAAATAAATAAAATCTTAAAAAAAAAAAGAAAGACCAGGTGGAATTACTTTTTGTTGTGTATTTTAACCCAATATACCCCCAGTCCTATTCCAGCAGATCATCAATGGAAGAAATAACGAGAACTACAGTTTAATGTAACATCTGGCACATAAAGCACACGGACAGCTCACACTGAGCCGCAAGTGGCTGTGCCTGCTGCACTGGACAGCACAGTTCTAGAAGACAAGACCTCAAAGCCCAACGTCCGCCAACAAACGGGGAGCCTGTGGAGCAGGGGACTGGGCTCGAGATGCTCCCACGTACGCTCACGAGCACACGCCTATCCCAGAGGCCTGGGCGCACTGCTCTTTGGCCATCCCATTCTCGGGTACCTGATTCTAACCTTTTTGCTATAAAAAATACTGAGGGGACTAAAGGCAGCTTATGAGAGGGGCAACATGTTCCTTCTCCTGGGAGATAACGTAAGAACAGGCATCAGAGGAAACACATAATCCCATATTCTCTCTCTCCTAAATGGCTTTCCTCCTCCTACCTGGGCTCAACTTCACCACCCGACTTACACGGGCACATATGTCTGTGTGGACATTTAGGCAGGCAATGGAGCAGAACATTCCCACCTGTGAAAGTCCTAGGATCATTAAGACTTCACACGCCACCTTCCTCTAGGCCAGCAGGAGATGGACTCTTGAAGCCAGGGGCTCCAGCCCTGGTGCCCACAGGCTTTCAGTAGCCTCTTCGCCGAGCTGTGCTCAGGCTCAGTAAAAAGAAGACAAGCAGTACGGTGGCTTAGGGACAGGGTCTGGTTCAAGTGAAAGTTCTAATTTTGCTGTCCTGACCCAGGTCACTGGGCCAAGGCACTGGCACTGCCCTGACTTCTTTATGGTGAGCTCTGGCTTCACTCCTTCCCACAAGTTTCTCGGCACTTCCGCAGTTACTGAAGAGAGCCCTTTAATTAAAATGAAGCTATGGGTTTATACTAGTATAATAGTTACCACTCTTTTGTTGCAACTATTTTGGCTCCATTTTGTTCAGATGAGTATCTATTACAAGGTAATATTTCAAATCCACTGTCAGTTGCAAACATTCGCAAGTAAATAAATACCTAAAACAGAAAAAAAAAATTAACTTTGTATCAAATCATTTATCCTATTAGACTTGCTCAGTTATAAAAAGCAACCCATCACCAACAATGTAAAACATTTAAGATAATTAACAAACTCTGTTGTTTCAGTATTCACTAAAATTTAAGCTTTAGTTTCCTCTTATCCAAACAGAAAAACAGTATTAATCTTATCAATAAACCTACATGTTCCTTGAATAATTTCTCTTGCATTTTGTTCTTGTTGAGAAAATAATGCCGTGCCCATTCGCCTGAAGTCAAACATTTGAAGGCTTTCTCCAAGTGTTCATCTTTCTTAAAACGTTCAATGACTTCCTTTAGTTCCTCTTGCCTTCCCTTAATAGGCCGAAATCTGAACAAAATCAAAACATTCACTTTAGTTATCTGTCATCATCCCTGGGACACTGCTGTGAGCTCCTGAGATAAGAGATAATAACCTAAAAACAACCAGACTTAAAAAAGACAATAATCAATAATCCTGATAACTACTGCTCAAGTAATAGTGCTCACTAGAAACTAGAACTTCTCTTTCTTCAAACTGTATGTCGATATTTTTATTTACTGTTACCTCATTTAACTGAGAAATGGCCAGAGGACTCAGATGAAAGCTGTCTGGCTCAGGCTCACGCTAGCCAGCTACTTCGGATGGTACAAAGTATCTAGAACAGAACGCGTCTACCTGAGAGTTAGAATGACAAGATTTTTTAAAAACATGCAGAACCAAACCAGAAGAGTGCAAGGCAATGAGCTTCAGAGGAATGAAGCAAACAACGTCATGCTGTCAACAACATTCTCCATGTGCACAGTTAGAAAAATCCCAAACCAACTAGTATCCCAGGAGCTCCCGAAACACGTCTTAACATTCTAACACCCACGTGAAATCAATCTTTGATAAGTGCATTCAGAGAGCGAAGGAGAGTTTTGCAAAACGCACAACTCTAGCGGGGATACTGCTGAACTGGTGACCTCAAAGGGAAAAACCGCTGGGGTAGAATCCTGAAGGGCTTCTACGTAAAACCAGCCGTGCCTTCAGAATACTGCACCATCGTGGCCCGAGAAAGACTCTGTAAAGCCCCTTATTCTAAAGCTGTGTTCTCTCAGTAAAACGTGTACTTGCATCTTAATTTTAAAATTTCTTCTCGTGTCAATTTCCTTTGGTTTATTTTCCCAAATAAAGTTCTTTTGTTTTGTTTTTGGAATGTCCAACAATAAAATAGGAGCTAGACCGCTATTCAAATAAACTGTTAAGAAGAAACTATTAGTGGTGGAGATGAAAATGTATTTGAACTACGCATCTTACTCCAACAATTAAAACTGCATGTCTTGTGAACCCTGAGCACATGAACGTGGAAGTAAGATCTGGCACTAACTCCAGCACGGGGAGAATCCAAGCAGAACTTTTTTCCAGGTAAGTCATCACACAGGCCCTCCTCACATGTCAGTGAGATTTCAAGCCACAGCACCTCACCAAGCATTCTTTACTAGGTGCTGAGTACACAGCTGGTGTGGAAAAAAATATGAGAGAAGACACGACTGCTGCTCTTGAATGGAAAAACCCTCTGGGACTAAGAGACACACACCTGCACCCAGCCGCTAAGCAGGGGCACGGCTCCACTACTGCAAGGGAACAGGGTACAAACCACAGCCGACAGCGCTTCCAAGTGTGGCGACTGCAACTAAGGGTAAGGTAAGTCCCTGCTCAGTGACTGAGCAGTGAGGACAGCGGCGGCGGCAGGTGGAGTGAGGGAAGCTGAAGCAGAGGATCTTAACGCGGGTGGATTCAAAGAGTTGAACAGGGGCTGAGGGATTCTGCTTGGCCAGCAACACTGAGGGAAAGTGCTAGAACAAAGAAGAGGGTAGACGTGAGCCCCTGAGTGGGGGGAGTGCTGTTTACTGGACAGGACCCCTAGAGGACCTCCACTCTGGAAATGCAAGCCGACCCCCGCCGGGAACCAACAAGCCACAGCCTCAGGTGTCAGTTAGCCTCCCACAGCCAGTGAGCGGAACTATGAGCGAGACTCCAGGCGCACCCCGGAGAGATCACACGACCAAAGGGACAATGCCCTATATTATTTTCCATTCCAATCAATCAGCACACCAGCTCTCACAGGCAGGCGAGTGCAAGTCCTTTAAACAACTCAGAAGGTCTCTGGGCTGTCGGGATAGGGTTTCGGGGAACCACTGCTAAAACGATCTACAAAATCCCCTGCAGAGTTGTGGGAACATCCACACTTCCACACCGACAGAATATTAAACCGCTCACTCGCAGCCACCACAAGAGACCTCGTCAAGACTGGCCTTCTTAGAAGACCTGAACCCTCCTGGCCCCAGCGCGGCACTGGGAAGCTCCCTGCAGAGAAAGGACACAAACGGCAGCTGTCGGCTCGGGCACAGCTCCTCGAGCACGACAGACTATGAAATGGCGGGAAAGAGAGGACGGGAGAGAGAGGACGTTTTGAGGAGGAAGCAGAAAAGCCAGCGTTCACTTAGAGCAGAAGCGAGCAGTCGCCTGCGATGTCGGCGGCAGGGAACCGAGTTTCACGCTTTAAACTGACCCGACGACTCGACGCCTTAGAAAGCAAGCCCAAGTCAGGGCTAAATCCACCTCAAGCTCCTAAGAAGGCGTCAGAAGTAAGCTACAGACCTGAAACGGAGAAATGGAGGCTGGCTCCTCCCGACAGGCTTTCTGTGCGCGCTCCACTGCGGGGCACCCGCCCTCCCTCTCTGAAAACGCCCGCCAGCTCTCCTTGGTTCTGCTTCCTCTTTGTCCACGATGCCAAGGAACTCACACGCTGAAACCGACCCGAGACAACCGGCCGTCGGTCCGGGGGCAGTCTGTCTTGGGTCTCCCGCGCCCACTTCGTTTCTGCGTTCCCGACTTCGACTGCTTCGAGCACAAACAAAACCCCTGCAACTGTCCCCTGCTGCTACCCACTGGCGAGGACCTCCATTTCACATTAGATGGAATTTCCTGTCCAAACCCACTGTCTCAGCTGGCTGCCACAGGCGTGAAATGACAGTGAGGCAAAGGAGGAAGAGACGGTTCTGGGTGCAGACAGAAGGGGACGGAACAGGTTTTCGATGACCCTATAGGGGCACATCAAAACCACCCGGCTGGCAGTTCAAGTCAAAGCCCATTACAACAGATACTGCGGGGAGATAAATTACTGAGTAACATAATTGTTACAACTAACAGGGCCAGAGCAAAAGGCACTGAAAACCGTAGAAAAAAGTGAACGATTTTTTCTATTACTGAGGAGAAAAATACCCTTTGTCCTCTCCTTAACCACAATCGTTCTAAACCTACCATGCAAACTGTACAAAACTACCCTCACACCACAGTTCTTAGAGCTGGAAGAATATTTAGGTTATGCGAAACGAAGCTCTTGTTCATCAGTGAGGAAAACAAGGCCTAATGAGGGCTGTTAATGGAGGGACTATTACTACCAAGGCCTCGTGCCCAGTCCCACTCTCTGACGCAGACTCTGAGGGCCCTCTGCTGTTTCATGATCAGAAGAGGATTTGACCTGCATTCGCCACTGAGCACAGCAGGGCCCAGCCAGAGACTGGGAGTGGACTCAAATATCTACTTTTGAATTTGGTATCTGGGGGGGTGGCAAATGGCATGGTAGGGCAGACAAGAGACAGGTCTCTGGCATTTCCAAATCAGTATGTCCTTCTTCCCTCTCTTAATACAAACTTTACAACTTTAAGTGAACCAAACGTTTTTCTCTTCCCACATGTCTGATCCATGGCTGGTATAAGAAATACAAAAATATGTCACTTAAATCATTTATTATTAAAAAGGGCAGAAAGAAACATGAATTCACACTCCCACACACCTGTTCCCCACTCTTTCCAGAGACTGACTTCCCAGGTTTTCTTGCTATTTGGTTTTTCTGTTTCCAAACCCAAGGGACCACTGTGGCAATGAAGGGAAGCGGCAGATGTGTGTTAGCTGTACTACTGTGCCCTTCCATTAGCATGTACACCCAAGAGCTGACTGGAGGGAGGGCGAGAGAGGAGGGGGACAGAAAAAAGGGGGCAAGGGAAGGAGGGAGGAAGAGAGAGAAAATGCTCAAATATTTAAGGTATAAAATAAGACCGTGAGGCAACATTGCGAACACATTTCCCCCTCTGAAGAAAGTTCGACTGCACACGGACAGTTGGCAGACGCTGAGGAATCATGCTAGAGCCACAGCTCCTCATTCCTTCTGGACCTGAAAGGAAACGACCACCAGAGACATACCTGGCTGAGTCCTGCACTCAGTGCTCAGCTAATCCCAGGGGTGACTCCTGATCTTTTGCTGAATGCTTTCTCTTAAAATTACCCTGTTGTGGAGTACAAGTGGTTTTTTAAATGCAGCTATTACTAACATCAAACTATTTTAAACGGTTTGCAAAATGCTCTAAAAATCGTGTCTATGCTGACACCTCCAATTACTTAAAGGAACGCGGCACGGACTGACACAGGTTAGTTGGTATCTTCTTACTGTTCGTAACGTGCTCTACCTACCTCACAGGGTTGTTGTGAGGAAAACTGTCAGATTTTGAAAAATGCCTTGAGCTCCTCGAAGGAAAGGCGCTATATAAATGCAAAAACAAACAACAATGATAAAAACTATTTGTATAAGTTGTATTTATAACTTCTAAACAGACTTACAATAGTCGTCATCCCACAAGTCCTTACCACACTGTGACACCCAAGAGCTCTGGGAAGCTGTGGGCAGACTCAGCACAGTAACAAAGGCTGAGATGCCCAAATTCTCCTTCCCACATGACATCCTCTCCCCCTCGATCACATTAAGTTAGAACGCCTAAAAATGTCTTTATTTTTTCTAATCAAGCACTTGATTTTAAAGTCACATTTAAAGTGATTTATAAATTCTCACCCCACAATGGATATTAAAGTCAAATATATAAATAAACAAAATTAGATGGTCACAGCAAAGGGTAAGACAGGCCTTAGTATAAATTGGATTAGAAAAATAGAGAAAAGTTCCAAAATTCCTGGGAAGATTCTCCCCATTTCTTCATTGTGTTATTTCCTGCCCAGTGCCCCCCACTCCCCAGGAGATGGAAACCTCCAGGTCATGCCGCCTACAACAAGGGATATTAGGAAGGCATCCACCCCTGCTTTAAACTATCACCTCTCCATGTGCCTTTTTTTTTTTTTTTAAGATTTTATTTATTTATTAATTTGTCAGAGAGAGAGAGAGAGAGAGAGAGAGAGAGACAGAGCATAAGCAGAGGAGCCTGATGTGGGACTTGATCCCAGGACCCTGGGATTGTGACCTGAGCTGAAGGCAGATGCTTAACCAACTGAGCCACTCAGCTGTCCCTCTCCATACGCTTTTTAAAAAATCAGAGACAATTAAAAAAAAAAAAAAAATCAGAGGCATGACTAGCAACTCTGCTCTCTGCTCTCAAATTCATATGAAATAATTATATTCATAATTCATATTCGTATTCATAATTAACAGAAGTCAACTAAATCTAAATATTTCCTAATAAATTGAAATTACCACTTTGTTTATACCATTTCTAGATAATCATGGTATAACCGTGATTTACTTGTCCGTAAATGTAGGGATCTATCAAGATTAAAACATAAACATTCATAAGAGAGCCAGCTAGGGAATTTTTTTTTAAGATTTTATTTATTTATTTGACAGACACAGAGAGAGCACAAGGAAGCAGAGAGGCTGGCAGAGAGGGAGGGAGAAGCAGGGAGAGAGGGAGAGAGTCTCAAGCTGACTCCTGGCTGAGTGCGGAGACCGAAGCGGGGCTCAATCCCACGACCCCGAGATCACACCCTGAGCTGAAACCAAGAGTCGGACACTCAACTCACTATGCCACCCGATGCCCCAGACCGCACGTTTTCACATGAGCCTAGGAAACTACCGATAAGGAACTTTTTAACACTGACGACATCATGACAAAGCTCAGTAGGTCAGACGGCCTAGGACCTTGCTATTCCAAGCACAGGCGGAAGCTTGTTACAAGCGGAGCGTCTCAGGCCCCAGCCCACAGCTCCTGAATCAGAAACTGCGCCTGCACAAGACTCCCCAAGTGACTCACGTGTAAACTAAGTGTGGGAAGCAGTCGTCAAGGAGGACTTTTATTTAAAAATCGGAGTCATCTCCTACTGCAGAAGTTCATCTTTGGAACAAATGGCTGGGGAGAGGGAAGTGAATACACAGGAATTCTTTCCTAAACCACTGAAAACAATTTAATTCTGATGCAATGCTTTCTAAGACAGCTTATGTGTTCCCGTGTTTCAGTATACAAGGCATGATGAATGTCATGTTCATTCTTCTCGTTCTTGATGACTCTGGGTCATAATTATGGGCCTTTGCAGTAATACCCAGAGTATCTCTCAGACTGTTATGTGAAAGTGAGTCACGTTTCTGAAATATTATCAGGACCTTCCAGGAGAACGGGCACCGGCCTCACTGGGGAAAGAAGGGAAATGGACTCAAAACAATCCAAATCAGATTCTAAATGGATCTAGGGCATCCGGTCCTGTTGACTTTCTAGACCAGCCATCCACCTGCCTGCTTAGAAAATCTAGGTCTCTGTCCCTCTGACAGCCGGGGCTGTTTCAGTAAGTCTTCAAATCCACGGCAACTTGTCACTTCATTTTAGCAAGGAAAGGAAAGATCTATGATGACGGGAAATCACGTGAGAATACCAAAGGCTTGCGGCCTCTGGGTGGCTCAGTCGGTTAAGCATCTGCCTTCAGCTCAGGTCATGATCCCGGGGTCCTGGGGTTGAGCCCCACGTCAGGCTCTCCGCTCAGCAGGGAGTCTGCTTCTCCCTCTCCCCCTGTTCATTCCCTCTCTCTCTCTCTCACATAAAATCTTTAAAAAAAAAAGGAAAAAGGAAAAAATACCAAAGGCTCATTTTTATCTGAATTACTTCTTTCTCGATTTAGAATATAATTGATAAACGAATCATATGGTCTCTTGTTTTAAATTCTAGCAAGGGACAGAATTAAAACAGGAAAAATGGCACAAGATTTCCTCTAATCACCTTTACTCACCAGTTCCTCCCTCACCCCACTACCAGCGACTAGTCACCTGGTGATCAGGTCCCTCTAGGGCTGTCACTGGCCCTTGAGCTACAAAAATCAGTGCAAGTGTGAGGAGGATGGGAGGGATCAGGGCCTAGAACTGGCTTGACATTCTTAGTCCCTGCTGTTAACACTCTTCCACCAGCCTTGAAAACCCTTTGCCAACTCAAGTCAAGAGGTAAAGAAGAGTTGTGAAGTTCGAACTTAGTGTCTGGTGGCAATTATGAAATTTTCTAATGGTCTTTTTTGGGGGAAAGATGATGTTTAAGAGAATATAACAGATTTCACAAGCAATATAATACCACCTCATACAGAGGGCATGTGATACTCAATAAAGCACTTATGCATCTCTCATCTGCGTACTGAACAGAAGCACGTCTTCAAAAATATTCACTTCTACGATGATTAGCTGAACCTCAAAGATTAAGCATGATGGCAAAATTTTCTATATACAGTTGCAATTATTTAAAAGAAGAAAAGTCTATGATAAAATCATGGGGGGAAAAAACCCCTGATGAACCTACTTTGAGCAGAAAAAAAATTACATACATTTTCAAGGTTTCACAAGATCTTTCTTTCAGCTGAGATTATCATTAACATGTAAAACAGAATATGAGATGCTCCTCTGGCTTTATATTTTAATAGAAACAGCCTGAGATAAAATAAGAACACGGAATTAAAACTGACAAGACCCTTAGAAGCTTTTGTTGCTTTTCTTGGCTCACATATAGAAAATCTCCTTTAATGTCATTTTAAATTCTGACTAGAAGTAAAATTAGCAACTCTTTTCTTAAATTCAACATCATCATCTGCTCCACTTCAGGATAAAGACTCACAATTACCTAGTATTCATTTTGTGTGTTTGAAAACCTAAATAGGGATCAAGAACCAAGCTGGTCGCCAGGTCGTCATTCTCACAGAGCTCCTTGGCAGACATTCCCGAAGACGGTACATATCGGCTCTGCCCTTCAAATCCCGAATTACCATTACCTATGAAAAGGAAAGAAAGAAAAGTTAACTCAAATGGACGACGACTTCTATTTACCCGTAAAGCCTTTAGCTTCACTGCCCTCTCAAGCTAGTAATTAAGAATTGAAACCACTTGTTTCAATCTGTTTAATTAAGGACTGAGTACCTTTTGCATAAACAGGGAACCAAACATGGTGAATTACAGAGTCC